GGCCGAGACGGGCGGATCACGAGGTCAGGAGATCGAGACCATCCTGGCTAACACGGTGAAACCCCGTCTCTACTAAAAAAAATACAAAAAACTAGCCAGGCGAGGTGGCGGGCGCCTGTAGTCCCAGCTACTCGGGAGGCTGAGGCAGGAGAATGGCGTGAACCTGGGAGGCGGAGCCTGCAGTGAGCTGAGATCCGGCCACTGCACTCCAGCCTGGGCAACAGAACGAGACTCCATTTCAAAAAAAAAAAAAGTTTATCCACATAGGACTGAAAGTGATCTCATGGACCACCCACTGGTAGTTAGCATACCTCACCTGGGGAAGCACTGTCTGCATATATTTCTGTACGTCCATGCCTTTATGTCTGAACATCAGTATCGTTAATGCACATGTGCAGATAAATGGTAAGGCCATGGGCTGTGTGTGTATGTATGTGCGCTTGCATGTTCCCATTTGAGGGTATTTCTGTGCCCATCAGGTTATTTGTGTCCATGCCTCTGTGTGCTCTGGTGATGACGTGTGTGTGTGTGTGTATCTGTGGGAGTACAGTCATTGTTTTATTTGTATTAATTTATTTATTTTTGAGACGGAGTCCTACTCTGTCACCCAGGCTGGAGTGCAGTGGCATGATCTCAGCTCACTGCAACCTTCATCTCCCGGGTTCAAGAGATTCTCCTGCCTCAGCCTCCCGAGTAGCTGGGAGTACAGGCGTGTGCCACCACACCCGGCTAATTTTTTTTGTATTTTTGGTAGAGACAGGGTTTTGCCATGTTGGCCAGGCTGATCTTGAACTCCTGACCTCAGGTGATCCACTCGCCTTGGCCTCCCAAAGTGCTGAGATTACAGGCGTGAGCCTCTGCGCCCAGCTGGGTGTACATTTATGACTGCGCATACTTGTACTTGTGACACCATTGACAGTGCGTGTATCTTTGTGTAAGGATATTTGTATAGTCCTTGTATTCAAGACTCATAACATCATTGCTGGGAGAAATCTTGGAGATTATCTCCACCCCTCACAGTTTACAGATGGGGAAATAAAGGCCCAGAGAAGTGGACATGGATTTGCTCTGCAATCGTGGGCAAGTACTGTACCTCCTTAGACCTTCATTTCCTCATCTTTAAAATGAGGATAACGTGTCATAGGTCTGTTTTGAGGACTGAAATAATGTAGGTGAAACCCTTAGAACAGTGCTTGAGTGAGTCAGCTCTCAACAAATGTTAGCTGTGATTATTGTTACTACTATTATTACTTTCACTACCATCTAAGAGCTCCAGCTGATTTATGGCAGAGCCATGTCTGATGTCTGACAGTCCAGTGTCCACCCTGTCAGGAACCCTCTTCAACACAGGTGTGTGTGCATTTCTTTCTGTAAGTATGTGTGCACATCTGTATGCCCATACACATCCATCCTTGTAGCAAGCAGAGCTGCCTGGTATGGAGTAGACTGCATGGATCTGTGGTTAGAACATCTGAGTTGGATGGCTGCGTGTATCCATGTGTCTGTGTCTTCTGTGAACTTCTGTGCCACCATGTGGACCAGAGGTGTATCTGTCAGTTTGTCCCTCTGCACACATCTGTGGGTATCTCTACGACCACGAAACTATGTGTGTGTGTGCAATACATGTGCTCTCCATATGTGTGTGTAAAAAAGCGTTGACTTAGAAACAGAGTCAAGGAAAGTTTGGGGACAGGAAGGGGGGCTTGGGAGCCTGATACTGGAGAGCCCCGAGTTGAGGGTATTGGGGGTCCAGGTCATCCCTCCCTGGCACCCCTGACTCTCAGCCTCTTTCTGCCACCAGCGCCGGGTTTATTTCCGCCTCTGGAATGCAGCACTGGGCGGATTCCTGGCAGTGCCGGACCATGTGGAGGACATGAAGGCAGGCCGTGTGGTGGTCTCCGACCCCCGAGCGGGAGGTAGCTGCATCTGGTACTACGAGGATGGGCTGCTGAAGAACCAGGTACTGATACAGGGGCTGCGACAGGGACACCCTGGCCCTAGGCATTTGTGGGTCCACGCTGAGGAGTCCGATCCCAATCAGGAACACAGAGGGACACACACAGAAGCCAGGACCCTGGGGAGGGGAGAGTGCAGACTGTGCCCCCTGGGCAAGTCATGCTCTTCTCTGGGCCTCAGTCTGCAAAAACAAGAGCAATGAACTGAGTGCTTCTAAGGGACCTCCCAGCTCTGATGCTTATGACAGAACTTGAGCCCTATTAATAATGGTAGATTTGGCCAGGCATGGTGGCTCATGCCTATAATCCCAACACTTTGGAAGGCCGAGGCAGGAGGATTGCTTAAGGACAGGAGTTTGAGGCCAAAGAAAAAATTAACTGCGTGTGGTGGTGCATGCCTGTAGTCCCAGGTACTCAAAAGGCTGAGGTGGGAGGCTTGAGCCCAGGAGTTAGAGGCTGCAGTGAGCCAGGGTTGCGCCATTGCACTCCAGCCTTGGTGACAGCACAAGACCTGGTCTCAAATAAATAAATAAATAAATAAATAAATAAAAATAAAAATAAGAAAAAAGGTAGATTTATTCCACACACATTTCTTGAGCACCTACTATGTGCCCGGCTCTGTTCTAGATGCTGGGGATATAGCAGTTATAGACAGAATTAGCATCTGCCCTCCTGAAGCTTACATCCTAGTGGGGAGAGATAGACAGAAATAACTTAAATGGGCAGAATATCTTAGTGTCTTAGATGATGAAAGTTCAATAGAGGAAGATAGATCATGAAAGGAGAATAGGCCAGGCGCGGTGGCTCACGCCTGTAATCACAGCACTGTGAGAGGCTGAGTGAGGCAGGAGGATCTCTTGAGCTCAGGAGTTCAAGACCAGCCTGGGCAGCATAATAAGATGCCATCTCCACAAAAAGTAAAAAACACTAGCCGGATATGGTGGCGTGCACCTGTAGTCCCAGCTACTCAGGAGGCTGAGGTGGGAGGATTGCGTGAGCCCAGGAGATTGAGGCTGCGGTAAGCTATGATCACACCACTGTACACTAGCCTGGGCAACAGAGGGAGACTCTGTCTCAAAAAAAAGGGAGCATAGGAAGTATCAGGTATGATATGGGAGCCTTTCCTGAGAAGATGACATTTGAGGGAGGCAGCCGTGCAGATATCTGAGGGAAGAGTGTTCCAGGCAGAGAGAACAGCCAGTGCAAAGGCCCTAGGAAGGAACATGCCTGGGATTGCTCTGGGCTAGCAAGGCTAGCTGGGTGGCTAGAGTGAGTTGAGTGAGGGGGAGGTAGCAGGAGATGAGGCTAGAAAGGTTATGGGGACTGTAAGTATTTATAGACCATTGAGAGGTTTTGTCTTTTACTTAGAATGAGAGAGATGGCTGACCACGTGCCAGGCTCTGCACTGAGTTCTTCACACAAATGCCTCCTATAATCTTTAGTCTAGAGTAGCATGGGGCAGGTCTTTTTATATTCCCCATTTTACAGGTGAGGAAACCAGAGCACAGAGAGGTTAGGTAATTTGTTGAAAGTCACACAGCCAGTAAATGTGTAGAGATTTTTTTTTTTTTTTTTTTTTTT